AAGTTTGCAGTTCAAATATTCTGCTGCTTTTCCAAGCCTTTTTACTTTCTTTTCTTCTCTTATCACACATTCAAGCCCCCAGTGTTCATGTATCATTTCAATCTAAATTATTCACTTTCTTCTTACAGATTACATTTCAGCATAGCAGTTTAGCGTCAGCTTTTCAGCATAAAGCATTCCCACTAGCAATTTCTTCAGGAATTGCATTCTCTAGTTATGGAATTATTACCCTATCCGATAATAATCTAATGCAGAGGCAATAATATAATATAATACATTATTTTATATATATATTATATATGTATATTTTTATATAGTCTTAAAGTTAAAACCGGCCCTTTGAGTGCAACTATAATGCTAATGTGGCCCGCAATGAAATTGAGTGACACCCCTGCTCTATGAGAACCAGCAGCTGACCCACACATTGTGGCAGATCAGCATAGACTGCAACCTTTCTTCTAACAGGGAAGTATCTAATCTATATTCTATTTTGGGTGAATCTGTGCAGTTTTCACAATGTGTAAAAAACAAATAAATTGATCTCATTCATTTAACTCGACCGAGACCAATGTGCACCAACAGCTAGTGGAGTACAATGACACACGTTCATCACACATACAGCTTTACTGTGGAGAGAAATACATTAGCAGTATTCCTGACTCCACCCCGCAGGAGTGCTCTGGTGGGTGAAATAAGCGTACCTTGTGGATGCGCCAGGTAGGAGAAGTGTGTGGTGGAGGAGACGGGGATGGGGTTGAGGGCATTCTGGGGCATGGCTTGCTGCGGCCCCCCCGGAGGACCCTGGGTAGCCATCAGCATCATGGTGGGGTGGGTCTGCCCCGGGTGGTGGGATTGCACCAAACCAGACTGCATATGGGCCTGTGAGAGAGCGAGGGGAGAAGTGTGACAAAGTGAAAACAATGACAGAACAGGTTCATTAAAAAGCTTAAAAAACAAGAATCAATGCCACGGCATTCACAACTCCTGCTATGTTTCTGACAGGAGCTCTGGATGGGTTTTTGAAGAAATTAACAAGATTTGTTTTCCTTATGGTTTAAAGGTCCCCTATTACACTGTTTTTCTTCTATATATTATAGGTCTCAGATATATACAAAACATGTCTCTGAAGTGTTTGGCTCCAAACACCAAACAGATCATGCATTGTAGCATCCCATAATCCCCTCTGTTTCAGCCCTGTTTCAAAAGTGTTGATTCTCTGTCTGTTACTTTAGATGAAAATAAGGAGCCCACTCCCCACGCCCTCTGAGAGATATTTTGGTATATACTATGTCTGTGGAATAGTATTCATGTGATTGGTGTTGTGTTTGTGTGACCTTGTGTATGGTCTAATGTGTATCACTAATATGTCCATATTTATAAATTCTATATGACATTCCAAAATCTGATCAGTTTTGGCTTATTTATATATATTTTCTATGATCTAATTTATTATGTGTATATGAATCCTTTCCTGGATGTTATCATGTGTAAGGGACATGAAAAAGTGTATTTTTGACATAACTAGGTGACCTTAACCTTTCTTATCCACAACCCACAGTATGTTGATATAGGTACTATTGTCTACTTGTCTATGTATCTCTCACCTTTCTTTCTATCCTCATGATTTGCATTCTCTGTTGTCCTGTGTATAAGCTGTTGTTGGTGTTTGTTAATTATCCACTGGTGTATCCGGTCCATTGGTTTGGTGTTGTTATCTTCTGTGTCTGGCTTGGGTGTGGTGGATTGTGTGGTTGTAGTTTGTGTGTTCGATGTCTCTTGGTGTTGATGTGGGTGTTCTGGGGGTGTTGGGTTCATTGGGTCTTGCTGCGGGGGGGGTTGCCAGGTGGAGCCTGGCTGCTTGGCTGCCGCTGGGACACACCCCTTAGACACTGTGTTAGGGGAAAAAAACGAAATTCTGGTACATTATATGACTGTAACGCTCCCATTGAATAAAGAAGAGGCCAACAAGGGACCTGCGAGGGTCCAAACATAGCCTCACATCGGGCTCCATGGGAAAAATAAAACAGTGTTTTTGTAATGATTCCACTTGTTTTATTTCCCTTGCCCACCCGTAATGAGTGAGGGGAATCTCGTGTAGCGGAGAACAGGATGGACCTGTTGATCGATTCAATGCAAGAACTGGTTTATTTTAAACCCAACATATACCCCACTAATTATATTTATGATATTTAAAACGCTTTCTGCAGATTATGCCTTCTTTTAATTTGTTCGGTTTTGTGCTTTTTCCTTTACATTCAGTACTGCACTTTTTTGTTTTGTTAGTTGTATTTACTTGTTTATAATGAAATGTGTCTTTAGGGTGGACCTTATTAAAATCCTGTCCCAGGGGGACTACAGGATGAAAATGAGCTTCTTGGCTAACTCAGAAATGTTGATTAATGTGGCTTAATTAATGTATTCATTTATTAACAAGGACAGTCCCTTGTTAAAATAAATGAAGACATAAATAAACTTATGACAAAAAATGTAAAAATTCAGTGTTGGCACACGATTTGAGAAAATGCTTTCTAGAACTCTTTCCAATGAGGGACAGGCAGGGAAGCTTCACCGCGGCTTGCCTGCTGGTGCTGGGATGCTGCACTGTGCTGGCAGCGGGGTGTTCTGAGGGCCTCGCTGTGTTGGGCCCCCCGCTGGCCCGCCTGTAGGCGTGGCCAGAGGGCTGGGGGTGCTGTTGGTGAGTGGGCAAAAGTGCGTTGGTGGTACTGCTGCAGGGCATTGGCCCCTGGGGACACTGTGAGACAGGACAGGCAAGGTAGGAGAACAGAAGATTGTAATGAAGAGAGAGAGAGAGAGGATTAGTTGAATTTTCGGTATCTCGATTTGACTGGCGATTCAAAACCAAATTCAAAAATCATTTTGATCAGAAATGATGTGTGCAGTACTTCGTACTCCAGTCGGCTTGGTAATAAAAACCGGTGTGCTGGAGGATGGCGATGAAGGTTGGATAAAAGACCATCCTCGGCAGAAGCAGGCTAGTCACTTGAGAGAAGAACCACTGGGGATGGAAACTGGCGTGCGCCTCTTGTTGCGAATATCGCTGTCAGATTCGAGTTCTGATATTATATCTGTATTGTAGATGTTAAAAAACGGGTTGCATTGACAACCCAATCTTCAAAATCAGATATTAGTCTTCTAATTGAATAGGCTAACTATCTTAACTTTTCACAAATAAACATATATACAAAAAAACTACTTAGGCATTCCTAATTTCTTCAGGAGCTTCGGAATAGGGAAGTTCTGCAAGATAATTAAAGAAAATAAATGCTTGGCATACATTACATAAACAAATACACTAAT